GAGAGAGAAAGAGAGAGAGAGATATTCCATCTGCTGTTCACTTCCCAGATACCTGCAATAGCAAGGGCTGGGCCATGCGGAACTCAAGAACCTGGAATTCAATCCAGGTCTCCCATGTGGGTGGCAATGTCAAGTACTTGAAACATCATCTGTGACCTCCAGGTGTGTATTAGCAGGAAGCTGGATCTGAAGTGGGGTAGCTGAGACTTGAACCACGCACTCTAATATGAATGAGGTTGTTTCAAGTGGTGACTTAACCACTGCACCAGATACTGTCTCCATCTTAAAATTTAAAAGTTTTACCTTTTAAAAAGCATCTCCATACTTCTGCCAAATCCTGTCTTATTGTTGAATAATCCATTATTTTTAGAAACAGTTTTTGAGTCAAAAATGTTTCTGAGAATAATCTTTATTGGGTACTACATGAGGCTTGAACTGGAAAACAGTTCTGAAATATTACATGTTTCATTATTTCTGTTTTTACACTGCCCATGAATGGAAGAAGTAAATACGTATGGATAATTGACCTAATCTGTGGATTTAGATACCATCTGTCAACTTACCAGGTCCCAGTGGTAATTAGGGAAGGCATATGACTGCTGAAGAACAGATGATCACCAACATTTATAAAACATATTTTAAGTGTTTTACATATTAGTACTTGAGTAACTTTGTTAAAGGGGAGTACTCAACAGTATTATTAAGAGATTATCATACTCTTTATCCCAAGATAATAATAATACCAGACATTGAAGTCATATTCACAATATGGTTGCACAACATTTAGAATAAAAACATTTAGGTGATGTCTCTATTGTTTGCCCATTTGCCACTCTCTAAAACTAGATAATTCTGAACATAAATTATACTTCAGCTTTCAAGACTATGTAATACATAATAATTATAATAGCCACAGACATATTCCTGCTTTTAAATCAGTTGAAAACCAAAGCTAATGGGCAAAGTAGATAAAACCACGAGCAACAGGAACAAATGTTACTGGTTGACCTACAAATAGCTGTACTATAATGTAGAGAGGGGAAGGTAGTTTCATTTATAGTGTCTGAAATTGAATTTCCTTTTTAAAGGACAAAGTAATTTAATTTTCAAAAATATTTGAGTTTTATTATGTAAGGAACAATCCTCTGTTTTAACAGGTTCATTGAATTTTATCTCTTCATTTTACTTTTACTCACTATTCCATTTGTAAGTGGAATTTACTACAGTTACCTGTTTTATACTGAATCAGACAAAATCTGCAAGATCTATTTCAATAAAGCTTTGAATTTCTTGTCATTTGTGGTAAAATGTATATATCCTTTTCCTAGTGAAGCCATACCTTAGCCTTTAAATCCTCAGTCTTCTCTCTTTGCTCACTCAAATGAATTATTGTTGTAAAAACTGAGATAAAACCATTGAACCCATGAATACAGGCTGTAGGTAATGTCGACACTATGTACAAATTTTTCAAAATGTGTTTCATTAACTAGTAGCATCAGCATTATCTGGGAACTTGTTAGACATGCAAATTCATGGCACCATCTCAGCTCTATTAAATCAGAAACTCTGTAGGTAGAGTCCAGTAATCTAAGTTTTAACAGTCCCTCCTAGGCAACTGTAATTTCCGCTAATGTTTAGAAAACATTGATCCTTTACACTCCAGGCTACTCAGCAGCTGTATCCTTCTATTCCCTAGAGAATGTCTTAGTTCAAGCTAAGATTGTGCACATTCTGAAAAGGAGGATGGAATCTTTCTGCAAATGTTTTCAATAGCTGCTTGGTTAATGCATGTGGTATGGTTATTTAAATACATTGAGTCAGTCTGTCTGTTAGTCCTGTTTTCAATTTACGTATAAGAAATCTCTATCCCCAAATTTATTTTGTGGTGTAACCTTTTCTCTCCTTAGATTCAATTTTAGTGATTTCTTGCCACCTGGATATAAGGGCCCTATCTTAAGATAGGGTATGCAATTTTGCAAGAGAAACTGGAAGACAGAAGATAAGCTAGATTCTCTTACTCATATTTTTTAAAAAAGATGTATTTATGTATTTGAAAATCAGAGTTACAGAAGGAGAGAGAGGGAAAAGAGAGAGAGAGAGAAAGAAAAAATATATTTCATTTGCTGGTTTACTCCTCAGATGGGCACAACATCCAGGGCGGGCTGGGCCAGGCTGAAGCCAGGAGCCAGGAGTTTCTTCCAGGTCGCCCACATGGGTGTCAGGGACCCAAACACTAGGACTATCGTCCACTGCTTTCCCAGGCTATTAGCATGGAACTAGAGAGTAATTGGAGCAACCAGGAGAGGGACTGGAACCCACATGGAATGCCCACATCACAGGTGGCAGCTTAACCCAATGTGCCACAGTGCTGGCCCCTCTTACCTAGTTTGATATGATGCCTTACAGCAGTTCTCCACATTAATCACTGTTGTAGTTTTATTGCAGTGTAATACAAAGCATGAAAGTCACCTGTTTTAAATGTACAACTAAATAATTCTTAGTAAATTACTAACATTGTGCAACTCTGAACACAATGAAACTTTAATACATTTCAGTTTATCAGAGATCCCTTGTGATCAATTAAAGCTAATTCCCACTTCCATTTCCAGCATCAGATGCCACAATCCTGTTTAATACCTCTAAATTTACCATTTCAGGTCATTTCATGAAAACAGAAAGATCTATTATGTGTGGTTTTTTTTGGGGGGTCGGGCTTCTTTGAGTTAGCAAAATGTTGTTAAGTTTCATCCATGTAGCTTGTATCATCTTTTGTTTTTTGTTTTTTTTTTTTCTGTTGTTGTTCATGCTGCATCATATTTCTTTAGCATTTATCAGTTGTGGACATTTGCTGGCATATTTCATTTAACATTAAGTCCTCTAGGGTCAGCCATATTACTACAAGTAAAGGAATCTTTTTATTTATCAAGGTCATTGTTCTTTCCATTGTGATACATGCCCCACATTTTCTTAACACACTCATCCACTGATGGTACTTACGGTGATTACTGTGTTACAATCTTTGAATAAAGTCTGTCCTTCACCGCCAGCAAGCATCCCATCACTAATGTACCTGAGAAATGTCATATACATATATATATATTTATATATATGATTTTATATATATATATCAGTAATCTGACTTTTGTAGGAAGTATTTTGTGATTTTTAAGTTCCTTTGATTCCCAGTGAAATTATGAAATTCCAGAAAGTGTCATCTTTACCTCCAAAATCTCAACACCTACCCCAGAAGCTGAAGGCTTCATGGCAGTCTCACATGTTTCGTGCATGGTTAAATGTCAATTAACAATTCATAGAACTGGCATTAAATCCTAAGTCTGTTGACTCATGGTCCAGTGTGCCTTCAGATCCTCTTATATGTTTCAACTTTCACCTTGGACATTATTAATTCCTCCAGATCCAATTCCTTAATTCTGAAGAATCACAAGATATTTTTTTTATGCCTGTTAACATCTACTTTTATTACCTTTGTCTGAGTCTGTTTTTGTCCACCAGCATTGCTTTCCTTAAGGGAAAAGGTTATGATGCAATTATCTAGACGTCTGCATCATGAAGCATAGTCTTGAACACAGGGAAGGGGCTCATAAAATGTTTGTAGAATTTAGTTTAATTAAGTTAAACCAATATTCAATGTTGACTTATTTGTCTGAGTTATGAATATAATATGATCAAGCTAGGTGTTTTCATATTGTCCATAAGAGATGGATAGAAAACCCCAGCAGAAGGTTGTAACTAACTGGTACAGTAAACTTCAAATAGATAATCAGCAGTAAGTAACATGAAGATCTTTCTTTTACATGACTGCTTTGATAATTATATAGTAAGCCTTGATAAGAATTTAGTTGGATATCTCCTTTTTAGGAAATCCTGGAAATGAATGAACGACATGTTTATGCTAGAGTACATGGACAGTTTTATTTAAGGGCTGTTCAAAGTCATTGTTTCTCAAAGAGTCAATTTTACTTCTATAGATTACCTTTCAGGTACACTATTAATTATCACAGATCAGGGAGAATGTATGGTATTTGTCCTTTGGGTACTGGCTTATTTTACTAAGTATAATGTTGTTATAATAATATAATAACTTTGTAATAATTTATAATAGTATAATAATAATTGTGTTGCCAATGACAGAATTTCCTTTTTTTTAAATCACTGTGTACTATTCCATGGCGTACATAGCCCATAATTTCTTTATTTAGTCTTAAGTTGATGGACATTTGGGTTTATTCTGTATCTTAATTATTATGAACTGAGTTGCATTATTTGGATTGAATAAACACATTTAATGAAATATATCTTTTATCTAAGTTTGAACTTTTTAAAAACAAGCTATGTGTTTTATTTATTAAAATACAGTTTACTTTGTTTTGGCATGGCCTCCATCTACCACAGGAACGGTTTGCCTCACATGATATAGTCTGTATACTTATCAATGAAATCATTTTTCTATTGTGTTTCAAGTGATTATAATTTTTTAGTTTGATCTATTTGCTAATAAAATGCCAAGGAATTTAACAGAAATTCTAAATATTAATAATTTATGGGAATGGTTGTCAACCTTGGCTAGATATTCAGTTACCTAGAGAATTTTTTAATCTACAATGCTCAGACTCCACTCTCCAAACATTTAAATTAACCTCTCTGGGATAGATGAGAAAACAAATTTCCTGTACTAACAACAGATATGAACATACTGTATTATTACTTCAACATCTTGATTCTTTTCTATTTATGTTTCCTGAATTTTGAAGTGCCACTTGTAATATCAGATACCTCAGATTAAAAAATGATGTGGTTTTAAGTCATTCTTTAAAAGTCATGGTTTAGGAGCATATTAACAATACAGCTTCAAAAATCTTCCGAGTGGCCTTCTTTCTTGCTAGTACTTGATACATATAAATGTTCCTAACCTGGAAATGTATTAAAACAAAGTATCAGAGGGTATTTTTAGTAATATGAAAAGAGAGTCAAGTATTCCATTTTATTATTGAATAACATTAGCTTTATTGTTATAATAGAATACAGTATGACATAAAATTAAGAGCTTTTGCTAAACTCCGTAAAGCAATACATGCATCGGCCATAAACAACCTTGACTCATGTTAGGTTTTATTGCCACTTCACTGCACTAAGTGCAATAAACATTCAATGTCATCTTAAAAAATTTTCCTGGGAGTAAACAGGAACTGTCCTCTATAAGAGTGTATCTTTATTTTGAAGGAAGACTTAACTACTGTTACATGGTTTAGCAAAGCACTGTAGAAAAGCTACATAGAATAATTCTGTCTTTGATAAACTGTGCAATCAATTTATATAATAGAATATTTTCCACAAATACTAACAAACTAAGAAATGATAGAAATGCAGTCATTGCATAGCAGAAAGCAGACTAATAAGAGATAGTCACATCTAATGAGCAAAATACAGACCAAAAGTTATCCATGAGGAGTCCGGGGGATAAAATGCTCTCAATAAACACATTAGGTTAACGCCGGAAAATAACAAGATAAACAGAAACACAGAAATCAGAGCCATAATTTATTTTATTTCCTATACATAATATCTACACATGGTACCACAGGATGAAACACCCTTGGTTCAGCCTTTTTTTGGCCTAGCTCATGAAGTCAGGCAGGACAAAAGCAAATAATGAGGTACATTGCGAAAGAAAATGATGCTTTAGGAAAACACAAACGATGTATTTTCCTTTATCATTGGATAGTAGCTTTTTAAGAAAAGCGTTGCTCAAAATGTGAATATGGATCCCAACTGTCTTATTTGGCAATTATGCTAACAAGTTTATGTTGTAGTATTCTAAATGTGTTCAGACCATGACCTGTGGATTCTGAACGCTAAATTGAAGTATCTGTGAAACTCTATCAAACAAAAGGAGACTTCAAAAATACCTTCTGCATAAATATTTATCTCTAAAACATCTGGGCAGTAATGAACAGACTAGAATTTTTTAGGGAATATTAATGAACCTTTTGTATTTAAAGCCCTTACATAGTATACCTACAAATATATTGCTACAGTATAAATGAAATGTAATAATATTATTCAATAAAAGCTATTTCCTGTACATCCTTTCATGTATTTTATATTTAATGCTACATATGGTACAACACTTATTGAAATAGTTGGTATCAGCAAATATAGCAATAATATACAGTTGATTTTCTAGTTCCCATTTGCTTTCTATATTACAATAGCCTAAAATAGGGAAATGTGGTGTGGCAGAACTTGAGCAGATAACAACTGATCTACTACTGTACACCAGACAACCATTTGAAATGATAAACTTTTTCTGCATAAGGGGACTTCATACCCATATGGTTTAAGTTCAGTCTGATTCCTGCAGGCTATTCTGTTCTTAAATGTAGGCTCTAAATGTATTTCCATAGAATTTAACAGCATTCAAACAGCTGAGAGTGGTGATTTCTACACAATATTTTAATAACAGAATTTTTTAGAAAAGTAAAAAATGTACAATCTCATGCTAAATATTTACATTTATAATTTGTATATTCTATTTTTGTTCTCTAGTCATAAATTTCAATCTAAAACTTTAAGTGTAGCTATACAAAAGAATACATTCAACTATTCTAGAGCTTGCAAAATATTTTTGCCCCTCTAAAAATTCCTTTACTTTGATAATCAGGTGATTATTGGGCCAATGTGCTGAGAATAGAGTGGAAAACAGAATACCTTTAAATTATTTTATTTATTTATTAGCTTCTATTGAGTGTACACTTTGTCAAAATGATTCTTCATTGAATTTAGCAGTGAAAACTCAGATAGTGAAGTAGCCTGTTGAAAGCATTTTTCTCCACTTGGTTAAATATGCTCTTTTGCGAGCAACTGCACCTTTACCTATGGGATTTCCATGAATTTTAAAATAGCATTTAATTAAAAATAATGCATTTGGGGTTTTAAGGAGAGGAAAAAATTGGGTATTGTTATCTTTGGAAACAAAACATTAAAGCTATATGTCAATAAAATAACAAAAATGTAAGCACATCATAGTTTGTGCAATAGATTTCTTTAAAAATTTTTCTTCTTTAAACTTTTATAGTTTATTCTTTAAACATCTTCACATAAAAATATTTTGACATATACAATATTCTTTAAGAATATTTGGAAATATACATCTACAAATGACCTAGGGGTTCTTTTGTTTCTCTTCTACTTTTCCTCCTATCTTTGGACCTTCTTGCATCCCCTTTCCTCTCTTGTTCTGTCTCCTTCTGACATGATTTTGCTCTCTCGTTTCCTCTCTCAGAATCCTGTCTCCAAGCTGTATATGCTGCTCTGCTCTGGACTGCCAGACAGGGGTCTCTTGTTCTTATATGAATTATGGAAATAAGGAAACCTTCAAATTCTTTAAGACAGAGGCAATAAAGCAGACGGGAATTACTGCATTGAGAATAGGAAGCAACTCCCAGTGCAGAGGGCTAAACAACAGAACATAACTAAGTCGAACTATTGGTGTGGTGTGGGGGCTTTTAGCTGAGGCTCTCTGTTTAAATATGTAGCCCAATAGACTAAGTTAAAGATTCCAAATAGCAGTGGGAAGGCTATCCTTGACAGTCGATCAATTTTGCTGACACTGTTAAAGGTTTTCTTGGGTTCTGGTGGTTTTGTTTCGGGCTTGACTTCTTTTGGTTCTATGGTTGCACTTTTAGCAATGGTGGCTAAGCCGGGGTCACCCCTGGCCAAATTAGGGGTGTAGCTGGTTGCTGTCGGAGCATAAGTGTTGTTTTTCTTAATGAGAGGATCCTTCACTTTCTTTGGCTGTAGAAGGGAAGACAAAACACGTTATTTAGTTAACTATGAGAATCAAATTTTTAAGTTGCTGAGCAAAGTGACCCTTACTTTGAAACTCCACCCTGTGTTTTATTCAAAAATCTAAGATATAAGGTTAACAACTATCTTAATTGGGATCGATTGAAAATGCAGACATTGTTTTTGCAGACTTTGTCATTAAGAGCTAGAGTTTATTCCCCCTCCCCCCTTCAATTAATCTAGAATGGACTTGTGACTTAGGCAGAGTGATGCCTAGCATCCCAGCTTCAAGAGACTTTCAGCTTCAGCCCTCCGTTTCTGGAAATATACCAGTACTATGTGAAGAAGCCTGGATCTGAATATCAACGGACAAGACAGCACATGCTGTGAGCAGCCTGACAGCAGCAGCAAGCCTCACACATGTAAGAGAGGCCATCATGAATCCTCCAGTCTTTCTGGAACCTCTGATAAACTAAACATGTGAGTGAACCCAGGTCAGGTTAGCAGAAGGACCACCAGGCTCCAAATGCAGATTCATGAACAAGTAACCGTTTTTTGAGGCCACTAAGTTTTGGGGTGGCTTGTTTTGAAATAATAATTTTGAAATAATAATAATTGCTGAGTCAATTATTATTTGCCATTTCTCTTAGTGTTTCAAATGGGCAAATAACAAAGCTATATTGCTTTATAATAAATAATATACAAACAAAGCTGCAAAGATAATGTGAATAATAATGCCAACAATAAAACAGTTCTATAAAGTGGGGAAAATACTAAATATTATTCAGGGTTTCCTGAAATCTTATCTTGAGCAGTTTTTAGCTGCTCAACAGTGTAGTCTGTGCAATGATCAACAATTGCAGCATTTCCTAGGGTTTCTCTTATACAGGTAGAAGTGAAGTGGATTATTGGTTGCAGCTCTCTGGTCCTGTACAATTCCTGTTAACCATATGAGAATATTGAGCATTTCAAACATGGCTAGTCTGATTTCAGATGTACAATAAATATAAAACACACAAAGGATTTTGAAGATTTAGTATGGAAAAATAGAACATAATGTAATGTTTATAATGTCTCATATGTGTTACATGTTCTACAGCCATGTTAAATCATATTATTAAGGTTAATTTTACTTATTTATACTATTTACAAAAGTATTGTTTGATTTTCATTTATTTGAAACGCAAAGAGATATAAAGATAAATAGAGAAAGAACTTCTATCCACTGGCACACTGCTCATATACCCCGAACAGCCAGATCTGAACCAGGCTGGGGTCTCCTCAAGGGTGGCAGAGACCCAAGTACTTAAGCAGTCAACTCCTCCTTCCCAGGGTATGCATTAACAGGAATCTGGTTCACAAGTTGAGCAGCCGGGACTTGAACAGGCACTCTGATACAGGTTGTGGGCTTCCCGCACAGTGTCTAAATCTCTGCACCAAATGCCCATTCCTGCTTATACTTTTTAAATGGAACTAGAAAATTCAAAATTACATATATGGTTCACATTTGTGGCTGACACTATATATCTGTTGGATGATGCAAGTCTAGGAAAGTGGCTCCCTTCTTCTGTGCACATTGAATCATACAAATATCTAATTTAGAAAAAGAAAATGTAGCTTCCATGACTTCACTGAGAATTGAGGGCTGTTATTTTTGCAAACTCATTTAAATTGAGGGGTCATAGTATTAAGTATGTGACCAAATTTTTTAGATTCATAAAACAATCAAAACACTATGATTTTCAAGTTTCAAAAATTGAAATGGACTTGGTAATTAATGAATCTGAGTAAGTTCATTTGTTCCTTATGCCCGCTTTGTTTAAACTGCTCTCAAATCCACAGAAGCCATAGGAAAGCACAGTGAAGCAGCAATGTTTTTGCATTCTGCATTTCTACTCAACCACAACTGCCTGTCTTTTTAGCAATAACAAAGTTATCTTTGCACTTTACCATTTATGACGGAAGGAAAAAGGAAGTAAGAATCTTCACCACTCCCCTTCCTCTAATTCTCCAGGCCTAAATGTTCCATCTCATAGGCTTGGGGAGACTTAGTAGTGATCTAGCACAGAAAATACTACAGCAATTACCTTCTCCGGAACCACGCTTTTGCCATCCCATGCATAACCTCTCTTGGTGAAATAGTTTACTGTGGCAAACTCAATCAGAGCTGAGAATACAAAGGCATAGCATACTGCAATAAACCAATCCATAGCTGTTGCATAAGCCACCTTAGGGAGGGAATTTCTGGCACTGATACTCAAAGTTGTCATTGTGAGCACAGTTGTTACTCCTGTAAGGAGAAAAATGAAGTGAATTTAGGGGTTCATATACAAAATTTCATCATTGGGGGGCCCACCTTACCAGGGAAACCAACATTACCAGGTACAAAATATGGTTCCTAGTTCACATCGTTTGGGTTTGCAATGAATGAGACTCAATTTAACATCAATATAGTTTGTGGATCAGGTATGACAGTGTTAAAGTAGATATCCTGGAAGTATAAAGTGCCCTGCTATTGAGGAGCCATTAATACGACTGTGAACTTTTTTTTTTTTTTTGACAGGCAGAGTGGACAGTGAGAGAGAGAGAGAGAGAGAGAAAGGTCTTCCTTTGTCGTTGGTTCACCCTCCAATGGCTGCCGCGGCCCGCGCACCGCGCCGATCCGATAGCAGGAGCCAGGAGCCAGGTGCTTTTCCTGGTCTCCCATGGGGTGCAGGGCCCAAGCACCTGGGCCATCCTCCACTGCACTCCCTGGCCACAGCAGAGGGCTGGCCTGGAAGAGGGGCAACCGGGACAGAATCCGGCGCCCTGACCGGGACTAGAACCCGTTGTGCCGGCGCCGCTAGGTGGAGGATTAGCCTAGTGAGCCGCGGCGCCAGCCACGACTGTGAACTTTTAATGCATATCTTGAACATATTGTCCTGGTTGGATAGGAAATGCATTACTCGCTGTACTCAATTCTTTAAATAGGAATCATATATTTTCACTTTGATTCAAAAGAACTCTCTAGAACCTCAGCTCTATTTAATACTCTATGCATTCCAAATCTATTACACAGTAAGCCAATGACTTCTTGATAATTGACAGACAATTAAAGAACTTAACCATGATAATTTGCCACATAATTCATAGCTACCCTCTTGAATAAATTCTTGAAACTAACATACAGGGGGTCTTCAAAAATTCATGAAAAATCTGTATTATGAATAAAGTGTCATGGATTTTCAAAAAATTTTTACATCAAAATAAGCTGACTTTTATTTCATTTTCCATGAATTTTTAAAGTTTATATGTGTGTATATATATATATAAAACAAGTTCTACATAACTTGCTTAAAATCACACAGCTAAGCAGCAAAACCAAAATTTGAAACCGTTTGTCTGATTCAAATGTTTGCCATCTTTCTCATCCTTCTAATATTGCCTCTTTACTCTGAAAATCCATTTGAATGATCTACATTCAAAGCAGTTTGGAAATAAGTCCTTTTTAGTTTGTTTAATAATGATAGGAGTTGGCATGTAAAAGAAGATATATCTTTTTATACCTATTTAACAAATCTATGATGTCTGTTGTCCTAAAATGTGCAAGCATTGTACTAGGTAAAGAAGTAGAATCTTGTAAGATTCCTATTAATTCATTTGAATATGCAGAAAAAATAATTCACAGTAATCCAGTCAGGCAAGGTGAGGTTACATGCTTTGGAAACAACCCTGATCTCTTCTAGTGAGTATTTTCAGCCTCAGGGAAGTGAATAATTTTATGGGGACCTCAGTCACCTTAGTTGTAAAAGGAATGATTAGTTCTTCATTTTCACTACTGTTTCTGACTGATCCCTCCCATGGTAACTGTGATGATTAAATGCAGTAATACACAAAATATTTTAAATATTATAAATAGCATATTGCTCTGGAAGAAACTGTCATTCTAACATATGTATCTAACATTCACATTTATGATTCCTTCTTTCGGTTTATTTTAGGAATTCAGTAAGGTCACAAAGTTGGTAGATGGCTAACATGTGTTAGCTGCTGTAAACCAGCCAGTATTCCCTAGATTTCCATGAATTGCAAGGCTACTACATTGGGAAGTAAAATTATTGAGAAGAAATGTTGTGAGACTTTTTTTATGAAATAGTATTTTTGATACAAGATCAGAGTTGTAGGAAGTGGAGCTATTTTGAGCTTTGGAGTTATTACAGAAATTTCTGGGCCATTATCCATATTATATAACCAACAAATGGTTTAAGGAATATTGGCTGAAAAACTGCCCCAAATTTATATAGCAATATGAACTTGAGCAAATAACAAGGTAATTAAAAGTCAGTATTTGGGCAACAAGGTAACCCAGTTTCAAATCCCATTTTTATAATTGCTGAATGACCATGGGAAAATTGCCTTTCAATCCTGAACTTCTGTTTGCTTCATAAAAATTTTTTCTTTCTAAATTAATTTTAATAACCAAATTAGAGGGCTACTATGAGTATTAAATAAGATTAGCACTTATATGATAAAGTGTTTAATTCTTAGTCTGATAGCTATTTAGGCAAAGATTAATGACTATTGTTATTGACAAATTTAGAGCCATTTTAGATAGATCCCCCACTACAGGGAATCTCACTCCTTTTATTTTTTAAAAGTAGCTTTATTTATTTATTTATTTATTTTTGACAGGCAGAGTGGATAGTGAGAGAGAGAGACAGAGAGAAAGGTCTTCCTTTTGCCGTTGGTTCACCCTCCAATGGCCGCCATGGCTGGCGCGCTGCGGCCGGTGCACCGCGCTGATCCGAAGGCAGGAGCCAGGTGCTTCTCCTGGTCTCCCATGGGGTGCAGGGCCCAAGCACTTGGGCCATCCTCCACTGCCTTCCCGGGTCACAGCAGAGAGCTGGCCTGGAAGAGGGGCAACTGGGACAGAATCCGGTGCCCCGACCAGGACTAGAACCCGGTGTGCCGGCGCCGCAAGGCAGAAGATTAGCCTATTGAGCCGTGGCGCCGGCCTAAAAGTAACTTTATTTAGGTAGTTCTCAGATGTAATTTGAGAATGGGTATTTTTTTTAAAGTATATTCATTTATTTTAGAGTCAATTATGGAGAAAGGGAGAGGGAGAGAGTGAGAGAGACCTTCCATCTACTGGTTCATTCCCCAAGTGGCCTTTATGACCAGAACTGGGCCAGGCTGAAGCCAGGAGCCAGAAGCTTCATTGGGTCTCCCTTGTGGATAGCAGGGGCCCAAACTTGAGTCAACTTCCACTGCTTTTCCCAGGCCATAAGCAGGCAGTTGGATAGGCAGTGGAGCAGCCCAAATATGAACCAGTGCCCATAGGGATGCCAGCATCGCAGGTGACAGCTTGACTCATTATGTTATAATGCTGGCTCAAGAGTGCCATGCTTAATTCAAATTAATCCATAATTTAAGAATAGTTAAGAATAACATAAAGAGGGGTGTGTGTATGTAGTTTTATAATTCCAATCTAGCGAAAGGGCAAGGAACCAAATGTATTAAACAGCAATTAACTCCCAAGGTACTAAGCTTGACAATTTATTCATTTTATTTTTTTTTTTCATTTAATTCTTTTAACCTACTGCACTTTCCTTGCATCCTCATTTGACAGGCAACTGAAACTCAGAAAAATGAATCAGAGTGGTCATTGACACACAGGTGGTAAAACTTAGATCCTGCCATGATGGCATGGCAGCAAATTCCCATGACAACATTACCAACAAACAAGAAAGACCATGGAGGGCCAATAATCTGATCTTTTAAGGCATAAAACAGACTTCAACTTTGTTGCATTCTGGATGCCTTTTAGGAAACAATTAGGAAGTACAATTTGTATGTGTTTGTTTTTCTTTTTTTGGGTTTCTTTAAATGCCTGTGATCCTCTCAGGCATCTACAGAACTCAGAGGAATGTGCTATGTTCAGAGTAAAAACAATAGAAATATGTGTTCTAAGTAAATGTTAAAAGGCTAAAGGTCTAGGAAAATTATATTTGTGATTGTATTGAGGCCAAGACATTAGAAACATATAACTTGATACACAGAAACACTTGCCACCATTGGGTTTACAGATATATAGTTATGTTCACTAAAAGGGCATGAGTCGATTGAGATACAAGATGGTTGAAAATGTTAAAAGCAATGTTTTTCACTTACAAAATATTCTGAAATGCTTTAGAGAATTCCAATGTAGTGAGAGTTTGTTGGAGATGGGGAAAAGTCATCACAAAAAAAATCTTTATCACTATAGTGCTGGGCTCAGTCTACCAAAATAAAATAAAGCAAAATACACAAAATCAACTGCCCCTGTCTGCTTTTTAATTTTTATTTCCTAATGAGTGAAGGGCTCAAATGGCATTTACATATGGAGATGAGCACCTTCTTCAACTTCATTCTTTCGTGGTTTCTTTGCTGGTTGGTAGACACAATAGTACCAAGTAAACATTTATTTGCAATGAAAGGCACTTTTGCTCTACAGCTGGAATCATTCTGGATCATATCGAGCTCTGTGCTTAGTCTGCTGTCAGAATAAAGATTTGATGGTTTTCGACTTGGGAGCACTTTCAAAGTTTATGGACATTTGTAGTAGAGTTACTTTTCTTCTGAGATAACTGATAACCTTGCACATTATTGAGGAATGGTACCACAGGAATCTCTGCCCATGAATAATCCTCAGTTTATATTGTAAGCTTCTTAGGGCTTTTATCCTTTAGCATAGGGACTTAAACCCAGCAGGTGCCTAGTTGGTATTTGTAGAATGAACCTTGATAATTGTACTTTTCCTCAGTAAATATGTGGTTGTTATTTTCAACTAAGTGACATTGTCCACAACAACTCCCTGGCTTGTCATTGTAGCCGAATAGCACAGTGATGAGACAGCATTATCATTAAGAGTTATCAACTAAGTGCTTGGGTTCTCCTCTAGAAGCATAGCCTAACAGCTTCTGACCTTGGGCAGGTGGCAGTCTTTTATTCCTTAACTTTCACTTTTATAAAATGAGACATTAACTCTATATATGTGTGTGGATATATATATACATATATATGTATATATATTTGGAATAATTAGGGTAATGTAGGGTAATTGCACAGAACAGTGCCTGGCATAAAAGTACTCAATATGTATTATATATCATGATCATGATGATTCAAATTTCAGGCTTCATAATGCACTTGATCTTAGCAAAAAGGCGGAGTGATCAAGCTCCATAACATAACCTTCATATGCGTAGTGGTTTATGTTTGGTTCACTGATGGTTTCTGTGCCTAGAAAACAGTAGTAGACTATAAAGGTGGAAAATAATTGAATAAGTGAATCAATACATTTATTTTAGTGGGGTCTTTCATTGTTATCAGTCTGAAAAGTACAGTTGAGATATTATATCCAGGTCATAAATACCTCATTACACAAAATGCACACCCTAAAATAATACATTAAGAGGTAAGTTTTCCCATTAGCAAAAAACTATTTACCCTTTAAACAATTCTTCATTGGACTGTCTTAATGGGAAGCACTTAGGCCATTTAAAACATTTTAATGCCCAAAATATACGTGGGTACTTCAAAGATTTCTTGGAACTAGAAGATAAGTTTATTTGAGTGTAAAATCATTTTTAACTCCAAGCAAGTTTTTTTTTTTTTTTGTAATGTGTGTTTTCATGGACTTTTTTGAAGACTTCTGGTATGCAAAAAATTTCAGAATTTTTTGGCACCAAATAAATTTACCACTTAACTCCATTTTTCTATGAAGTATTTGAAGTATCCTCATATTTGTAAATCTTCAGGAGTGTAAATATTAAGGAAAGTGAAGTATCCTTATATTGATGTAGTAATTAACAAGCTCTCTCTACTGGACAAAACCCTGCTATTACATATGTAAGGAGGCAGTTTTGAAAAAAAAAAAAAAAAAAAAAAAAGGCAGTTTTGCTGCTGTTTTCCAAAATCCTCAAAAAATATAATGATAAATGTCATGTATTCTAAATATATACTTTAGATATGCAGGCTTCCATGCATGTTTTTTAATCTGGAACAATTCATTTTATGCCTATCAACCACTTTTCTATTCCCAAATTTCAAATCAAATGTATATTAATTACATATATTCATATGCACTAAAACAGCTTGCTATTTAAAGAAGTATCTTTAGAACATTCCATGATAGAAATGGTAATTCCTTGAAACTGTCTGTGGTACCAACTCCATATTCAACTATATAATGACTTTTTACATCCTGCGCAATGTCATAGCTTGCCCTTCAGACCCTTGCATGCATGTCTTGATTGACACTTACCAAAGACAGTTCTTGCTGGTACAGACTCTCTGTTAAGCCAGAAAGAGACTTGGGAGAGAATAACTGTCATGATGCATGGCAGGTATGTTTGAATAACAAAATAGCCAATCTTTCTCTTCAAGTGGAAATGAGTGGTCATAACAACATATTCTCCTGAAAGGTGAAACAGACAGTAAAGTTGAACATTCAACCTTGAAAAGAAGTTATTTCTGAGGTTTTTCTATTGGCAGCAAAAGTGTGAAGGTTAGACATACCCCTTTTCTATGTAAAAACCATTTCCTGGAGAGGAAAGTTTTTATTCAGTAGAGAAAAGAAACATTTTTGACAGATTCCAGAATGGCTCTCTGGAAGAGACTGAGGTGTCACAGACCTTACAGATCTTCTTACTCCCTAATCCTGGTGTGTCATATATTTAAGAGACAAATCTGAGCATATATTTATACAAATCAGCTTTAAAGTCCATAAAAGCAATGTGCTAGATCTTGTAACCCACACCAATAGATCAAAAAGAGACTACATCCTCAATGTATCTATTACAGGACAGATTCAGCAAGATACTGAAGTAGTCAAGACAGCTGAATTCCAATTCCAACACCTCCGTAATGAACCTCTCTGATTTCACATTCGTCATTTAGCTTGGTCTGCACTCCAAAATGCAGAAAGTATGCTAGAAATCATTGATTCTCAAAATGTGACTCCCAGAATCATCTTGGAAGCTTTTGAAAGATGCAGTTCTTCATATCCCACATAGATTCACAAGTCATTCTTTGAATTTACGAGGAAATCTGTATTTATAACCAGCTTTTGAGCTTGCCTCAATTCCTAGCAGGTTAGGAAGCAGTGCTGTAGTTAAGCTGTCTTCATGGTCTTTATGTATTCCAGATTCTGACTTCCTTTAAGGTCCAAAGACAGGCACACAACCCAAATTGTGGGAGGGTTTTATTTTTCTTCATGTTATAGTTTTTTCAATTATAAACCCTATAGTTTCTCAGTCTGATTCACTCAGAATATATGCTTAGCTGCCTGTGGGTGGATAGGAGAAAATAGATGTGTTCTAGATAGGAAAGCATCAGTCTATTTAGAATATGTATTTCTCCAACTTGTTCCTTCCTTTCTCCTCTAAACTTCTCTCTTTATAACCATTTTTATCTCAGCCCATGGGCTCTGACTTCAGCTGCTCCAATGTGACTACAACTATCCAGGACTTCTTCATTTCTGCAATGAAAGCCCTTTTCTTTGTTTTCATGCTAGCTGTTCTCCTTGGTAAGAGCTTTAAGTGTTAAGCATCCCTGCCTTCTAGATAGCTCCCTCTTGACTCCCATCTTCCCTTATCTCTTTTTTCAAATTCTTTGCTAACTCACTTATCATTTCAATCAGAAATTTCTTATGAAACTTATATTAACCATGAACTTCATTTCAGCTCTCTGCAAAATTAACGTAGAAGTTCCTGTATTAAATGAGTTTGAGCACTGCTGTTCTCAAGTGTCTTTATTTCCTTTACTCCAACAAGGAGTTTTGCATTTCACTCTCACTCCTAATGTTCTCTGTATGACGCTGTACAGTGATCTGTCAAATCTGTATCTGTAAGTAAACTCACTCTCAAAATAAAGAACTGAATTTCCAGATCTATACTGAGATATATCTGTTTTCCACACACTGAATTCTCACTGTCCCCTCGGAGTGCATTCCAAACTCACATTATCTTTCCCCACAAAAGAATGACCATCACATACCAGCACTGTTTCTCCACATTGGTTATGCTCTTAATTAAAGGAAAAATCATCTGTTTAGTAAAAACCTACAATTACTTAATCCTTAAGGATTAGATGGTACTTTGGGAAAAGAGAGGAAGGAGTCAGTTGTTATCGTGATTTCAATTTCACCTGTGCAGTATCTTTCATTCTATCTCTCCTTATCAAGAGGTCACTGCACTTATCTCTTTTGTAGATTTTTTACATGAATCTACAAACTGTCTTGTGTGTATTCTATCACATCCTAACTCCAGTTTTCCTTAAACATTAATGTAGAGTGAGCTTTCACATGTGATCATGTCACTCATTTTCTTACATAAAATACCTTAGTGGATTCTCATTATCTACATCAGAATTTTTCAATGTCAGCACTATCAACCTTCCAGATAAGATGTTTCTTTGTAGTAAGGGGATGTCCTGAGCATTGTATGATGTTTTGTCAAAACTCTAGTCTCTCTGCACTAGATACCAAAAGCAAACACTTCAGCTTCCTTTTGTGTGACAGTAATAACTTTCTACAATTCTGTATTCTAACATACAGAATATTTTTCCAAAATGCAAGTCTTTTTACATCATAGCAGTTGCACATCTTTCCACACATTTCCACATCTCAGTATCTTGGCCTACAAAACTCTACTAGACACCTTCTATAGCTCAATATTTTGTTCATCAGTAGATTGAGTCCATCTCAAGTACCAGTTCTTCAGTGGAACAGAAGGTTATGTCTTGTAAAGAAAATTACATTAGCTTTTGGCAGCAAATGAATTTGAGTCAAAATCCAGATATGCTACTTTCTTGATGGGTAGCCTGGGGCAACTCAAACTCTCTGATCATCATCTATAAAATATGGAAAAGCATAATATAAGATGAACAAAGAATAATGGCTCTAATTAAGATGATGCTACATAAGCATGTTAAAATAAATTTTTGTTACTTTTTATCATACACCTTACCATTAGAATTGGTAGGCATGTTGGTAGAAGAAACACATTCACTCTGTATAGCAGGAAATTATCCAGGCATTCATTTTCAGTCATTATTAATAATACTTGCCATTTACTGAGCACTTACGTTCCTTCAACTTTTGTTTTTTCATTTTAGCTTTTCCACTTATTTAAAGCTATCATACTCTGTATTTTAGTTATTTTTATGCTTAAATCCCTTCCACCAAAATGGAAGCATACTGAGAAGGGTAGTCCTTTGGATATAGCATGACCTTGTATATCCTCAGTAATCAGTATCCAAATGAAAATGGGTACAATGAAACTTAACTGCATTTAATCTAAACAAAAATGAATAGGCTTTTCTCTTTTGAAGGATAAACATATGTTAACCAATTAATTTATTTTTACTTTCTCTATATACTTTTAATAATATCTTCAAATCATTTGAAATAGAAGCAATACAAATTGGGAAAATAGTACAGAAAAATTCTTTCCCATGGTTATACTAAAATATAACCTTGTGTGGACATGCACATGTTACATTTCATCATCTCAGGTGTGCACATTGTTATTCCTAACCATTCCTTAATTTGTGACTTGAAAAATATCACCAGTTCAAAGGAAAAAATTCCATCTTTCATATAATGTCAGAAAATGACTGTGTACATCTATTCCATTATCTTCTGTTGTTTGCAATGTGACGTGTTTTGTGGAGATTCTGAAAAGAGTATTATTTTAAGGTATCTAAAGAGCTATTATTCAGCATTATAGCTGCTTTATAAAGAAGTCTTTCCTGTACAGTTTAGGAAAAGCATATAAGGTCTTCCAATGCTTTGGAACCATTTTCTTAGGTTAAATCAAATCTGAGAAGTGTTGACACAAAAGTTTTTAAAAAGGGAAGGAAAGGGCAGGAACATCAGAATCTTATTATAATAGTTTAAAAATGAAAGAAAAACAAAACAATAAGGACAAAAACCCAGTCTCCTAAATTGGATTGAAAGAGTATGTCTAGACACCAAGTGTTTATGCACTGAGCATGTCAAATTCTAATTCAACAGTTGGAAAGAATTGGAATTCAAATATCCTTGCACATCATCCAGCCCTGAGGGAAGCTTGTAAATTAGTTGTGACAATATCTCTAATATATTATAATGCAAAATTAAGGAGAGTAGAGGAAAAGAAGCAAGGATATAATTTTCCAAAGCAGCATTAACACTTTATTTATTCCTGGCTTCTAATCTTTGCTTTCGCAAATTTAGTTACTTGAAGGTAAATACTTTGCTAAATCTTATTCAACTTTAGTTTCTTGATTTGCTAAAGTAATATAGTAGGGCTTAAACATTTCTTGAGATATTGTCAGGATAAAATTAAATTATATATGTGAATATGAATATACTTTTTAAAATAATCAAAGTCTTATGCAGATTTATAGGGAAAAGACGGAGACATAGAAGTGCATTCCCAGGCTGGTGCCGTGGCTTACTAGGCTAATCCTCCGCCTTGCGGCGCCGGCACACCGGGTTCTAGTCCCAGTCGGGGCGCCGGATTCTGTCCTGGTTGCCCTTCTTCCAGGCCAGCTCTCTGCCGTGGCCCGGGAAGGCAGTGGAGGATGGCCCAAGTGCTAGGGCCCTGCACCCGCATGGGAGACTAGAAGCACCTGGCTCCTGCCATCGGATCAGTGCAGTGCACCTGCTGCAGCGCGCCAGCCACGGCGGCCATTGGAGGGTGAACCAACGGCAAAGGAAGACCTTTCTCTCTGTCTCTCTCTCTCACTGTCCACTCTGCCTGAAAAAAAAAAAAATGCATTCCCTCTCTAGGCCAGGCAATCAGCCATTAAGTAATTCAACAAGGAGCATTTATTCCACATGAACCTGTCCTATTCTTTCAGGTATTCTAAACTTTATGCTTTTTGTGGATGCCACCATTTTAAAAGGAACCATGTATGAAAAACAATAATAAGGGGAGGATGGTCATACTGTGATAGCTAAAAACTACTAAAATGAAAAAAAGGAGATATGATTATAGTTCTAAGCATCTTAGCCTCTCTGGCACTTTCTCCTGGTTTGAAACAGGAATGGTTGACCAAATGACCAATAAGGCTTTTTTGGTTTAAGTTTTCATTTTGTTTTGTATTTGTGTTTTTTTTTTAACAAATCTTTTTTTTAACTCTTATTGCATGATTAGAAATATTTTTCAGAAAATCGTGTACCAGGTTTTATTAATGGGTATGTTGGGATCCTTTGGTGAATGCTGATCATTACTATCACTCCATCCATAAGCAGAATGCTTTTCTCATTATTTTGACCTCAAAATGTCATCTTAAAATCATCCCATTCAAAGAGGACTCTGTCAAGGAAAGAGTCACTTATACATCTGTTCTAAGGATTAACAATTGTCATTCAGAAGAAACATTGCTAGTCATCAAACTAACCTGAATTTCTGGTGATCAGACTTACTTAGGTAAATACAGAGGCCTTCCATAAATCATCATTGTGTTTTATAAACATTGCATGTTAGCACATTCTTACTGTTTTCTGGACACTGACATTATTCTTGTACCTAATTGCTAATTTACTTTTTTATCTATCTGTATAAATTATGTTTCACATTCTTAAATTACTTCTGTATTTTTTGCATAACTTTCCATAGGTAGTTACTCAGAGGGCATACGGTGGTGGTGGAAGGAGACAAGGAGCCACGCCTGAGATGTAGTTCCAAATTGCTTTTCCTTTTCCTTTAAGCAAAAATGTCCTCTTTCTCCTTTATGCCATCAATAGTTCTCTTCTACTAGTTCCATGATTATTATTCATAACACTGTCTGTTATTTGTTACATAGTTTTTATACATCTGATATTCTTCTAAGGAGTTTACTTGCATTTTCTTTTTTTAATATCATATTAACTCATCAAGTAGACACATGAGAAAAGAGGAACAGAGCAATTGAAATATTTGACAAAAGTCATGTAGCTAATAAGTGTTAAAATCAGCATTTAAACCATTGTAGTATAACTAGAGTCCACACTAGTAGGGCTATGCTCCTCCCATCTCAACTGTCTGTTGCCTGTGACAAGTATGCCATCTAGCTGGGAGCACATACTCTTCAGCCAAACTACCTGTGTTCAAATCACAGCTCTGCCATTTCCAAGCAATGTGACCTTGGAAAAATGGTGAAATGTCTCTGGGCCTCAAATATACCCCATCTGTAAAATGGAGACAATGATTATACCCATGGGCTAGGATTTTTTTGAGAGTTAGGTCTGAAGATAAAATCAATGCTAAGACAGGTTAGCTACTCCTCTCACTCATCCACAGGCTTCTGAGAGCAGTGCATCTTTCATCTCTCCAGTTCCAGTCACAGTGTCAGACACAGCAAATGAGCAAGTTATTAAAGGACTAATTGAATGAATTGTGAATTGCATTAGATTTGAAAGCTGATTAGATGAACCCTTTCTATGTGCCTGTGATGGTTTTATTCTGCCAAGTGAATAAATTTACTTCAAACTAAAGCTCTAAATAATTTTCTTCTCTTAAATTTTTCCGACTCCAAGGAAGCTATTGTGCCATAGACTGAACTAAAACATCCAAATACTGTGTTAGGATCTCCGTTGTTATCCCTCTTATATCACTGAAGTGATCTAAAGAGATTTGGACTCGACACGGGTATCTGGGATTGTGTGTTTGTGTACTCACAAGCATGTTGGTGGCAGGCAAATACAACACCACCATTTTCCTTCTAAGAGGTGATCTGAATTGATTGGTGCCCCCAAAGATTTTTGAGATAGAAGAAGATGCCTTTTATCTGGTAAAGTTTTCTGACTGAACAGAGAAGTAATAACACAAACTTGAAATTATCTAAATGATTTCAAGGCTCCACAAGGGGATGTGAAATATAGTATCAAAGTCAGTACACAAAGATCTTTGTTTCTTTACACTGAAATTTACTGAGATGCATTACTGAGTGAGCTAAAGTGGACCCAGAAAAAGTACAGCTCATTGTCTTACTGTAAAGTTGAAAATATATATCACACTGAGCTCCCATATTTGAGAATTTGCTTTGTTCTCCCTCCCCCAATATTCACTTCGAGATGGCAGAATAAAGCTCTTATTTTGAATAGATAAACTTGCTGCTCTTGTACTTCCAATGCACCTAATCTGCACCTAATCTATGAGCTCCAGCCAGCTTGATAGCACTGGGTAGCAAAGCCAAATGTCACGAAATTCTCTAGGTTCTTCTGACAAAGCCACTGATTTTGCAGATGAGAACTGAGACAAGGATTATAGTGGCATGGTCAATGCCAAGAATTAGAATGGAGACAATCTCTACTCTGGGCAACCTTCAAAACTTGCATATACTTCTACTATTTCATGCATGCTACCACATTTGAATTGTTTCTCTGACATCCTTTGACTCCCTTCCAATGATTGTAGGTGGCGATTTCCTTGAAGAAAGGGTCTGTGTTTATTATTCTGAATGTCCTGACCTACAACAGTGATGATCTGTCCCCTGACATATTAGACTAACCAAATGAAAAGTCAACCCTGCTACAGTTCCTACTCATCCAGGGCTCAATTCACTTTTTATTATTCATTAATTCAAAATATTTGTTTTGCATTCTATGTTCAGCTACTACAGAAAATAACAGGGATAGAAAAGGCAGATATGGTCACTGCCCTCACAATAATGTTAATCACAGTACTTAACACCCATTTTGATAATTATAGTTTATGTGTTCATCCTCTTTTAGACTTCAAATGCCGTGAGAGCAAGATTTGTGTCTTGTCCATCACTAAATCTCTAGTGCCTGGCACCATATCCAGTTTATAGTAGCACTCAATTTATAAGGAGTAAACATCTTTTCCAATAGAAGATATTATATGGCCGAACATTTTCAGCACCTTCCATGTCTTAAGATATTTTCAAGACTACAGCAAAGGCTACCATACACCATTTTTGAGCACTTACTATGTAAATTCTGCTATGTTTTATACTCTGTCATTTTAATGCAGAATTATAAGATTCTAATTTCTTCGATGAAATCAGTTTCCAGTTGGATAAACGAGTTGTCCAAAAATCACAAGCCTTCTAAGTAACAGCACCAGGACTTGAGTCCACATTTTTCTGATTACAAAGCCTATGACCTTTCCAATATGCTGTGTGCATTCCTAGCAAGGGCATAGCTAAGGAAAAATCTTCCATTTTTTAAAACAAGAAGAATACATATTTAAGCTTCTAAAACGGATGCTTTTTAGTAAGCAAAAGACAGATCCTCTTAGGCAGAACTTACTCAATAATCACATTAAGGGATACCCATCTACCACTTTAATGTTTTAGAATTATGAGGGTTTAAATATATAGTATATTTCATAATTTTTCTAAGCAAGAAATTTTATGAAAAAATAGCACCACTGGCCCTGCATATTACTGAATCAACTTTGCTTAGAAATCACAAATCTCAGTGAATGAGATCAATTTGATTTTTTAACTCACCTATAGAAATAATTGTTGGTCTTTTTTCAAGTTCTTTAGCAATGGAATGTATTTTAAAATGTTGGACTTTGGAGAGCATAAGTTGTTCTAGTTGTTCGAGTCTAGTTTTCAGTTATAATTCTCCAGCTTCATGATCCCATTTCAGTTAGTACAAAATAGATACTTGCATACTAAACTTGTACATTTGAAACAGCTTTTAAAAATTGGGACCCAGCACTTTTCAAAATATTTGATCTAGTTTTGAGTATGTCATTATTAAATCAGTTGCAACACTAAAAATGATGGCACCTCATCGACTTTTTTTTTTTTTTTTGGACAGGCAGAGCTAGACAGTGAGAGAGAGAAAAGAGACAGAGACACAGAGAGAAAGGTCTTCCTTCTGTTGGTTCACCCCCAAATGGCTGCTACGGCCAGTGCGCTGCACTGATCCGAAGCTAGGAGCCAGGTGCTTCCTCCTGGTCTCCCATGCAGGTGCAGGGTCCAAGGACTCGGGTGGTCCTCCACTGCCTTCCCGGGCCACAGCAGAGAGCTGGACTGGAAGAGGAGCAACCGGGACAGAATCCGGCACCCCGACCGGGACTAGAACCCAGGGTGCCGGCACCACAGGCGGAGGGCTAGCCCAGTGAACCATGGCACCGGCCACCTCATTGTATTTTAATTCCAAAATGGTGTGGTTAGTAATGTGACCAAATCTTGTTGACTTTAGGAGTAGAAGATGCTCAGCCAGAAAGATGCATGGATTTGTAGAAGTAATTGGCCTTTTGATGTGCTGCATGTAATGAATGCTGCTATAAATTCAAAGATTTATTGATGTGTAGAGATAAATGAGGTAGATAGTATTAGTTGCTAACATTTACAAAAAGCTTTTTCTCTGCCAGGAATTGTGACAGGTAATTTTCATGCATTGAATGTACTCCTTTCAACAATCCTGCATGGTGTCTAAGATTGACTACAAGGTAGAAAAGTAAGGATTTAACCCATTCAACCCAAAGAATTCACGTTTCCACCTGCTGTGCTACACTGATCACACAGAATCAGCTCCTTTCTTTAAAAACAAACAAAAGCAAAATGCATTAAATGACAGTCCAAGGTCACATATCTACAATTTACCTTACTTGCCACTCAATTTATCCCTGGCTTAATGTAATTTTCTCTTTACTCTATTTGTGTTAGGAAAGAATTCTATGAGTTCTAACATTCTCACAAAATGTTTTTCTTCCCCTTATTTCATATCTGTAGTAACCAAGCAACACTTACCTGTACTGGACTGTACAATTCCAGAGTCCACTGTTTGTCCAAGAAGATCATACTGGTTTAGGCGTGACCCATCTTCTGCCACAACCACTGAGCGTGCTGGCTCTCTGGTCCACTCATAAACAACTTCTGCTCTTGTATAAGCATCTAAAAGCAAAGCATGGGAAATTATCCAAGTATTTTCAAAGTTCCATTCTCATAAGTGGTTGATATATTTTATCAACTTCATATTTTCTATTTCGTGGTTTTATAGGGTGAGCTAGGAAAGCCCATATTCCTTAACTTCAGGAAGGTAAATTTTATTTTCCTGTTTCATTCAACCATTTGTTCGCTTTTCCAACAAATGGTTTTTTTTTGTTTGTTTGTTTTGTTTTGTTTTGTTTTGTTTTTTTTTGACAGGCAGAGTGGACAGTGAGAGAGGAGTGGACAGTGGCAAAGAGCCCAGGAGGACATGGACATGTTTTTAATTTCTTTTAAAATCAGAATTTAAATAGAGTTTAATCTAACTTGGGTTATGTTCATTTTTATACCAGCTTAGTCATAAATATAATTTGTTTTATTTATTTTTAAGGATTGCTCCCACAAAGACAAAAGTGTCTAGAACCCATGAAAATCCCATTTAGCCCTTCCTGACTCCAACCCTAACCATAGGAGACCAGAATTGGGTGTTGTGTCTAAATGTGATGTTAGATCTTCAAAATATTCATGGAATATGTGTACTTTGACAAAATTCTGCATGTATTTCAAGTAATTTTGGCACCAAAATAAATTTATGTTTTAATTCCAATTTCCCATGAACTATTTAAAGTATATTCATATTCTCACAGGCTGAAATGAGTTGTACAGTTATTTTACATGAAAATAAGGCTTCTTGAAAAAAGATGTGAGCCACATCCCTCCAGCTCTGAAAACAAACTTCTTAAAGTGGTCACTTTTTCCCAATGTGAGGGATACAGAAAGTGTAGTAAAGATTTTCTGATTCCCTGTGTGGTTCAGCTTCACGTGTGGACCCAATTATAACCATGTATCTTTTTAAAGAAATTTTCCTAGAATTTTGAAAAAATGAACTGGAAATTAACTTAGCTGTTCATGAGACACATGAAAATGACAAATGAGTAACCTGAAATTTGTCCTTATTGACTCTTTCTTTCTAATTGTGTTTGTCCTCATTGACTTAGAAAGCAAAATGATGCATGTCAGCATTGTACTGGAAGACAAATCACAGCTGGTATGAGGGTATAAGATTTTGTTTTAATCTCTTAGAAGATTTTGTTTTAATCTCTTAGAAGAGTGCAGAGCATACTAGATTTAGAAAGACCATTGTGTATGTACCTACTGGTCATGATAAATTGTTGACTTTTAATGGAATTGTCTTACCTAAGAAGATGTACTGAATTTATGTACAGAATGAATTTATGTACAGAATGATTGAATGATCCATTTAGAAGAGAGTCAAAAGACCTGCAATTTAATTGTATTTTATAGATGCTAAACTGAGGAACAGAGCACTAAATGACTTGTTTAAGCCTATACCACTATTTAGTGGGAAAACTAAGTTTAAAAACTTACGATATAATTTATTCTACTCCACTGTTGTTTGTAAGGTTTTTCTAGGCAAAAACAGTATATTATATGCTCAGAAACCAAGCAGAGATACTTAGTAGTCATATAATTAGTGTTGAAGCCAATTCTAGATCTGTGCCATTTCATAACAAACTAAATCCCATGCTACTGTATTGCATTGCTGTTAACAACAATGCCTGGAGACTGCATTTTTATATCTTTTTATGTGTTGTCACTGGAATGCCAATATAGTTGTAGAGAAAAAACACATGTTATAAATTTTGTCTCAACTTCGTATACATCACTGTGTATAAAAATGTGTAATTATTATAGATATGGTATCACTGTGAAAGTGCAAATTATTCATTATTCACATCTCTTTTGGAGACTTTCAAAGCAGAGTAAATGCACAGGATGAAAGCTGGTATTTCAAGATAGAGGAAGAATATAGATACACTTAAGGTCTTATCGTAGGTGATATATCCTATTGTTTCCTCAGATTTCAGTATCTGGAAAATATTCTCTATATAAATTTACTTGATTTGCGATTTCAACATAAAGAAAAGAGGTTAAAAATAGTCTTCAACTTCACGTTTCCTAGTCAAAAATTTTAAAGTGTGATTTCAAATAAATCATATTTAAGAAGAATAAAATTTAAAGACAAGGTAAAAAGCTTTGGGTGATGGTTGAAAGATCTTTGTAATGGTACATCAGTGAGGCCATTGATTCAGTATCAAAAGGATCGTTGCTAACTGACGCTGTAGCTTCATTTTTATGGGCCTTTATTTTTCCATTTATATAGAGCAGGTAAACTAAATTCTAAATTTGTGTTTTCAGAATTCTTCCACATTTCACTCATTGTCTCTCTCCTCCTTTTGCTTGATAATCAGTTGGTCAGAAAAAAAACAATTATGTATTAGGCCCTTGCTCCGCTCAGGGCTTGTTTAGGTCTTAATGTCAGAATCCATAGCCCAATTTGCTTCTTTATCAAAGCCTTATTTTGTGTTTTCCTTGAAAAGTATTAACAGATGACAGCTGTATGACACACATTTCTTCTGGTTAACTGGCTATATGAAGAGATAGAGCTTTATCCCTACCAGGCAGAAAGTGTCATTTAACACAGACAATCAGAATCTCGGAGAAAGTGGTAAGGAAAACATCTGCTTTTATGTGTTCCATTCTTATCAACATATGGATGAGGTTGCTTCCGAAGCTTCGCAAGCATTTGTTACTGAGTATTTCACCAAATTAGTGGAAAATGCTCTGGCTTATTCTTCTCTCTGATATTTTGGTGAGATGTTTAATCCCCAAAGTAGGCCAAATAATTTTTAGCCCACCTTTGCCTGTCTCCATACCTTTGAAATATGCTAATAAAGCCAGAAAGGGGACCCAGCTAGACAACAATGGGACCCCCAGTGCCTCTCCTCATGTCGTTGGAAGGCAGTAGGTAGTCACTTGTCAAGGTGGCTCCATTACACTGAGCGTTTCCATTTCAACATTTGCTTCAACATCAAATCTTAACCTTTGCAGGTCTTAAACCCTCTTTGCTGAAGCTTACACAAGTTGATGGGATATTTAAATCCAGATTATTGTAATCATTACCCATTCAAGAACCATTTAGCAAGTGCTTCTATTATCTTAGCCTCTGAATGAAGGAAACTGCAGCCTGTTCTGAGGAAGTTTCAGTGTCCTGACAGCAGATAAAACTAGTCAGCATTACAGATAAAATAGATGAGCATTGTGGTCATGAAGACTGGTGGGTATGTTATGATAAGGTCACTGGCGTAGGCCCCAGAAGAGGATGTGGAGAGATGGAGGAAGCCAGTCCAGCTAGGAAGCAAAGGAAAGGTAACCCTGGTAGACAAATGAATATGTGCAAAGGCTCTGAGGTCGAAAACAGCTCACTTACTTGTCTTTACCCTCAGTTTTCTTATATAAGGTGCTATTTGTTTTCTACCGTTTATCCATTTTCATCTTCCTAAAATATATCCAAAATTCTTCAGGTTTATAATGTATCCAGTTAAAATATTTATTTCATATTCTCCTTTACAAATGCCACTAGCAACATGATGCACATTTGATGTATGAGACATTATGCCTGATAGGATTTTCTAGAAAGCACTTTTTTGTTGTTGTTGTTGTTATTATCAGCACCACTCTTCTCATTTGACCAATTATTCCACTTGATTCTGAAAGCAGATGTAGTGGTTGGAATTTCACCAGCCATCTAGTAATAAGGATGACCATCCAAGGACAACTTGAAATAGCAGCTCTGTTAAAATGCTGAGATAACCAGCAAGCAATCAGCAATCACTTGGGGCAGCATGGTAGTGGGTTAAGCCACTGCCTGTGACACTGGCATCCCATGTGGGCTCCGGTTCAAGTCCCAGCTGCTCCATTTCCAATCTGGCCCCCTCCTAATATGCCTGGAAAAGCAATGGAAGATGGCCCAAGTATTTGGGGCCCTTCACTCCCATGGGAGTCCTGGAGGTAGTGCTCCTGGTTTCAGCCTGACTCAGCCCCTGCCATTGCTACCATTTGAGGAGTGAATCAGCAGATGGAGTTCCTCCCCCCACCTCTCTCCTTCCCTCCCTCTCTCCTTTCCTCCCTCTTTCACTCCCTCCCTCCCTCTGTCTATGCCTTCCAAATAAATAAATAAATATTTAGAAAAATAAAATCACTTACTTTCATCCATCATATATGAAATATAAACCTTCTCATTTTTTTATAGTATCTTAACTGCTAAAAGCATACCTATTTAAAAATTAGGAAAACAAGTAATTCATTGTCAAAATTTAGACATTTTTTAAGGAAAAAGAGGATACTATTAGTAATTATACCAGGATATTGGGCCAGCGCCATGGCTCACTTGGTTAGTCCTCAGCCTGCGGCACCGGCATCCCATATGGGTGCTGGTTCTAGTCCCGGCTGCTCCTCTTCCAGTCCAACTCTCTGCTGTGGCCTGGGAGGGCAGTGGAGGATGGCCCAAGTCCTTGGGCCCCTGTACTGCATGGGAGACTAGGAAGAAGCACCTGGCTCCTGGCTTTGGATTGGCGCAGCGCCAGCCGTAGTGGCCATTTGGGGAGTGAACCAATGGAAGGAAGACGTCTCTCTCTCTCTCTCTCTCTCTCTCTCTCTGTCTCTCTCTCACTGTGTATAACTCTACCTGTCAAATAAATAAATAAAAAAATAATTATACCAGGATATTAAGCATAACTTAGTACTGTCATAAGCAAACTATGATGTATTATCTTCTTAACTATAGCTTTTGCTGTGGTTTAGATGGCCTTATGAATGAATGAATCTAATATACATTCTGACATCCATGAAACACATAAAACACATTATCATTGTTAAAAATTGAACTGGTAATGGAAGAAAACCAGTAGTGTGTGATACAGAACATATGCAAGATTTGAGAAAAGGGTAGTGGGAAGAAAGTTGCCACCAAAGGCTTGTTTAGCTGATAGTTTTTAAAGTCATTTATCCTTGGGCTTTAGTATACAATGAGATTTATAAATAGAGTCATTTGTCCTTCCATGACTAGCACTGCTAGGAGCCTGAAGGTCCTTTGCTATTTTCTTTGCCTGCTCTCTTCCTACACTACCACTATTTTTCTTCTATGAATCATATCTTCACCAAAATAGTTGCTCAGACTGCCTGTCTGGTGAGGACAGAAAGCTTGTTAGGTATTCCGGGAGTTGACTCAGTCCTTCTAAGTAATTCCTTTGCAGGAAACTGGGAATTATTATTCCCACTCGTTTTATGCATGCATACCGGTCAAAAGCAGAGGGATGGAGGGAAAATTGTAACCTGATTCTCCTGGCCACTCTTATCATGGATCCTCTGAAATGCTCCTCAATATTTTCAAACAGCAGAAACCCAGAAAGCTATCATAAAGAGAAGCTATACAGGATGCCTTCAAGAATATCAGTATATACATGAATTCCATAGGATATACAAATAAATTAGTTTTCTAAGAATATGATTAGGGTACATTTCCTTTCTGAAAATAATGTAGGTGTAAACTTCATTTAATAACAAACCCTACTTGTAGTCCTTCACCACCTACTAATATTACCACCTGGTGACCAATTTAAAATAAACAAACAAACCTAACTACTGATGTAAGATAAACATAAAGTTCCTCATTTATTGGTAGGAAAATGTTATTCATGGGATAGAAGCACCTACTTTCACTCCTTTTTCTGTGAATACAACTTCAGCAAAAATAGAATTGTTCCACTAAATAATTTAAACTGTGTTGTCCAGCCCAGTAGTTAGGGAATCACTCCTCTCTTGAAGTAACTTTTATTAAAAGTTAAGTCAAGGATTTCTAAATAGAAAGTCTTTTGAATACATTGCTCTGAAAGTTTTCTTGATGTTTTCATCTTTCTCTCTAATAGACATAACTAATTGAATGTTATTTTGTATATAGTCTTAGATCTTTCGTAATAATAAAGGAAGTTTGAAATGAAATACTCACAGCTTCCAAATTTTAGTGGGCAGGCATGAGCATCCATAGGAAAGTCCTCCAAATGCATTGGACATTCTGCTCTCACGGTCAGCCTTATTCATTAAGGGAAATAAAGATACAAACAAGAGCCCTATAGATTAGCTCCATAAACAAGTGTGATATTATCAACTTTAGTAAATATAGCAACAACACAGAGAAGAGTATAAACTGTAGTTACACTGAGCTATTAATAATCAAATGACCCAAAAAGAATGGTTTACAACTGTATTCTGTCTATTTTTCTTTGTTTTCTTTGAGAAACTAGACAACACCTATCTTGTACAATGTTCAGGTATTGCTAATGTTTTCCATAACAAGCACCATCAGTGACTCCACATAGCTACAGCAAATTCTTAGGGAATAACCCAAGACTTAAGCAAATAAATATTTGCAGAAGTAATTCATCCTTGGTTGGGAAAAAGCTATGAATGTCAAGGAAAATAACTTATCTTGTTTTAAACACGGTTGCCCAACCCTCACCCAAGTAGTAATGTGTGCATAAGGTAACAAAGCAATAGCGGAAGGATCAGTGTCTTCAGGCTCTGTGAGATTGAGATTAACGTAAAGTCCCCTTGAGAGTTTGTATGTGATCTCATTTTATTCCAACCGTTTAGTTTTATTTACAAATCCACTGCCTAATTGAAGCCAGGAATCCCTAGGGTGTTCTGGGAATGTGAATTCTATTCATGTTTTTAAAAAAGGATTGCTAGGGAAAGAATTCATTGGAATATATTTGCTGTCTGTAGCATTATGAGGGAATTTATCCTCATTTCCATCTTATGGTTTTTAGCAAGAGTTTTTCTTTTTACTCATTTTATTAAGTAGTTCAAGAAATGTTATAGCATAGCTTCATAACAAGCCAGTGAAATCTTTAAGTGATTATAATACTGATTAAAGCAAATATGAAGTGAATTACTTACTGATTAAATTACATTGTTAGCCAGTTAAAGAATGTGATCAATATAGCAAAAGTGATGAGAAATTGTGAGGATGGAAAATATAAGCTACTTACTATTTTTTTTTGCTTTCTGTTTGATTTTTGTTTTTATTTTATCACAATACCTCTGTTCTTACTTTTGTTCCCATTCATACAAGTTCTTTCACTGCCCCTCTATACTGGTCAGAAAACTTCACTCCTGTTCTAGGAAGATGAGCACCACCAATCCTATTTGAGTAGCCATTCAATTTGAACCTTAGCATAGCTCCTTACAGAAGACCATAGAATAGGAGAGGAATATTGCATACATCATAAACCATTAATCAGGATAACCTTCCTTACCTCATGGTGTACAGCAAGGTGCCGTCTTCTGTGATTCTCAGCAGTTTGTTGGGCATGGTCATGTTATGGGCCACTGACTTCTTTCCATTGTGAAAAAAGGTGTCTGGGGTCCAAATTTTACTTGCCATTAGGTTATTTAACCGGAGAACTGTCATCGGTCCTTTAAATTTTAACCTTTCATCCTTCCAGCTTTGACGGAAAAATACATCAATCGTGTATTCCTAGGTAGTTTTGGAAAATGGCAAAGAGTTCACTGTGCTGTATTTTACAATGCAAACATCTCACATAGAACATGCATAATTTTTACGAGTTTGGAAGCAAAAGATGAGCTAGATAGCTTGTGGTACGTTTTGGTGTCAGGTGAATCACTGGTTGGCCTAATGATTTTTTTTTTTTAATTTCTAAAATTCCTGACATACTTCTTGGTCAGAAAAATGTGGCCAAGTATCTTCTCAGAATGTGAAAACAGATTAACACCCCAATGTCTACCATCACCTCCACCACACCAGCAGTCAAAGAAATAAAATCTATTACAATAAAATCAAACTCACATTAGAGGGAATTATTTATAGAACAATATTTACATTAGATGTTTCCAGCCTTAAAATAATGTTTTCCTATTGTCTCTGAAAACTGAACACCCTCACCCAAGTCATTCATGGTTCTACTGGGAGTGTGAAAATCCCATCATCTTTTGAGTAAACATTGTTATCAGGGGTAGTCTATGTAGACTTTCAATTCTCCTACACAATGAAAATAAGGAATCCATTTCCACTGTTAGTTTGGATCACTACTAAAAAAGAAAAACAATGAAGGGTGCACGTGTGTGTGTGTGTGTGTGTATTTGTGATTGTATATATGCGGAAGTCACATGAAAAGTGTGTGGAGCTCATCATAATTCACAGCCAGGGAATTTATTTATTTGAATAAATACAGCATTCCTTATGGCAATACCCAGAGACAAACATCTGCTAATCTAAAAACAAGCAATATGACTTAGCAGCTCTAAAAATTGCAAAGGATTCTACCCATCTTCCTTGCAAGACTTGCTACACTAGCACTATATTTGGAATCAATGACTTGAAATGAACGTTACCACATTCTCCATTAATCTGAGAATGCTCTTAACCAGAAGGAGGACTAAATTGACAACATCATATAACGTTTTCCTAATATTCTAAACATGATGCATCAAAAAGCAGCTGTTTTTTAATCTTACATATTTTGGGTTTTGGAGAAACACAATAATAATGTCCATCTATGGGCATTTTTTGGACAAATTTATCTACTTGTCCCCTTTACAGGGTTTAAAACAATATGAAAGCGAATATGTCTTTCTGGCACACTTTTGGCATTGGTGAGCAATTGATGATTGAGTAACGCAATTATTATTGGATGGTTTATGATGCACAAAGCATACTGCTCATTGCAGTGGAGAGAGAAAGAAGGGAGTATACCATGATGCCAGTCTGTCTTTGTGGCAAGACAAGTTGTGTCATTTGTTTGTTTTTTTCTGTGCCTTCAAGTGTCAAATGAAAAAGTGACAAATGATAGAAATTTACTCACCAACACACACTTCTTGAGCATCTGCTAAATTTAGCAGAGGGACAAACTGTTTAGGCATGGACATTATAAGAAATGCTTATGGAGGAATTAGATAGACAGAAAACAGCACTTTCTACAATGGGAGAAATGCGGAGGGCCATTGTGGATTCACATCAGAAGATGACACAGTATGGTAGTGTCTATCAAGTAAACAGATGGATGGGTCCACCCTGGGCTGGGCATGTTCCCCTCTCTGAACAAGACGGGCTTCAGATGTGGGATACAATATATGATATTTTTGTTACTCAGGATTTTGATACATGAGCTTTATTAACTATCTGAAGAACGACTTTTAGTCAAGGGTAGAAAGAATGACCACTTAGAAATCAAGGTTCCAAGGATGTCTAAACTGACCATGTACAAAAGTTTGGTTCATCTGTTCCCAAGATAATCGTTTGAACACAAAATAAATGTTAAACTTGTATTATCAAAGATTGACAAGATATATCCCAAAGGCAATGACTCCAAAAAATTTTGTCAAAACATTCTAACACCCTAGTGCTGACACCTTTATACGTTCAACGCCAGCTTTACTTACCTGTGCTACTGGCAGACAATGAAATTGCCAAACTCATTTATCATTCTCTTTTCAAATCTTTACTACTCAGCCATACACACATACAAAAAGAGCAAGTATAACTGAGTAAACTTCATTTTGATTATCCCCTCTGATAGAAGTGGAAGGAAAAGCTGAAATTATAACAGTTAACAAAGACCAGCCTACACTCTCTGCCTAACAGAAAGTGTAAATATTTGATCTCCCATTTTCTGAGAACTGCTCCTGCATGGTCAGCATAGTAGTAGCTGGTGCCTTCAGTACCTGCTGATACTGCCCCATGGTCACGGTTCATAGATTAAGAATGAGCATCTGAATCAAGATGCGACAGAACCCCTTCTTTCACAAGTTGGAACGACAGTGGAAAGACACAAAGCCCATGGCATGGTATCAATGATTGCAAGTTCCTAACCTGCCAGCTAGCTGGTCTCTGGTAATTTTCTTATCCTTGCGAAGCCCTAGTCTCCCTAATCTGGAATAATGCACTTGGCTATTGTGAGAAATGATTTAATGCTTGTGAATAGCTAGTGAAAATGCCTAGAATCTAGGAAGTGCTTAATGAATGTTAGAAATTATTTGTCTCCCCTTTGATTATTTCATGAACATGCTGCGAATGAGAAAGTGGTATTTCTTTTGGAGGATTGTGGGACAGGAAACCCCTGGAAAATGAGAAGGTAGTCAGAACAAGCAAAGTACAGCAGAATGCTAAGGGCAGGACTCCATGGAACAGAGCCTGAGTAAGTAGGGAGCACTATGAAAGAATTTGTTCAAGTTCAAAGGTTCTACCCTCACTACTAAAGTGAAAAATCTGAGTTACTCTGCTCAATAGAGTTAAGTCCCTGGAGAATGAGAACCTTATTCTGAAGATCTGGGACAAAACATCCGCTATGTTCCTAAATAAATATTGTATTGAAGTGTTCCCACTTGCACCATTTATTACCATCTGTGTATGCTTTGACTTAATACAGTTTAAACACTGTGGAAAACAAGTCTATGATTGTGCTGCCTGGATATTTCTGTTAGAACCTGGTGCTCTGGGAATGCACTGTTTGATTGCCAATTAGTGGTTTTTAAAATAAAATTAAGGAGTTGCCCTAATTTTGTTTTCCATTCTAGATAACGTCAGATGCCTTGGGAGCTGTTGAGTCTCTGGGGATGACTGGACTGGGTTTCAGCTGGTACATTTAGCAGGTCACTTTCCTTCTCTGGAATATGTGGATAGGAGTAATATTTAGCTAAAAGGTTTCATATAGGGGATTGAATGAAATGGGGTCTATAAATCTTTCAACATTGTGCCTAAAATATTTTGAAAATTTAATAATGTTAAATGATGTGATTATTATTAATTAAATATTTCATTAGTTCTCACTTTAAAAAATACAAAGCTTTTTCTGTTTAAAAAGTAGCTTTGTCATTCTTCCTTGAAATTTTGTTTCTAAATCACACCATTACTTCTTTTTCATGATTCTTACATAGTATGGTTTAAATGATTAATCTACTAAAGCAAGGTACTCAGGTATAATATCCTCTAGCAACTTAGGAAAACATTTGCAGGCCTAAAGCTAATTTGATCTCTAATAGAACAAACATTGCCTTTTTCAGAAGCTTTAAATATTAGGTAGTAACAGTATCACTGGCTTGGACATTATATCCACTTCTTTTATCTATTATGTAACCAAAGGTCATATATGAAATATTGCTTGCTCTTGATGACCACAGAGTTAATGGTGTTTCAGAAATCCTATTCTGGAAGAAGGCATCCTGGTGCAGTGTATTAAGCAGCTGTTTACAATATTGGAGTGCCAGTTCTAGTAATCACTAGTTCTTATCCAGCTTCCTGATAATACATCTGGGAAGGCAATAGATGATGGGCCACATGCTTGGGCCCCTGTCTCCCATATGGGAGATCAGAATGGAGTTCCAGGCTCCTGGCTTTGGCATGGCCAATCCCTAGCCATTGCAGCCATTTGGGGAGTGAAGCAGTAGATAGAAGAACTCTCTCACACTCACTCCCCCCTCCCACCTCTCCCCCTCTTCTTCTCTCCCTCTCTCCCTGTCTCTTTCTTCCTCACTCTATTTCTCTGCCTTTCAAATAAGTAAATCTTTTTTAAAAACCCCATTGTGCATTTTTATTTGGAGGGAGAAAAAAAAAAAACACTTGGTTCCTTAAATTACAGTTAACTTGAACCAGTAACTGAAAGGCATGTTAAATATTTTTCAAAGGAAAGTTTTCTGCTACACATTCCCTTCTCTGGGGCACTGTCCACATACAACTCCTAATGAAAACTAATTCTGTGTGAAACACCATGGTAGGTATCAGAGACAGAATAGAATACTCATCTTTACATTTTAAATCATTATTAGTATTGTGATAAATATGGGATGTTTGACCCTGTTTTTTTTTAAGATTATTTATTTGAACAGCAGAGATTCAGAGAGAAAGAGAGAGACAGAGACAGAGAGACAGAAATCTTTCATCTGCTGTTTCACTCTCCAAATGACCATTAACTGCTATGCTGGGCCAGGACAAAGCCAGGAGCCAGGATCTTCTTTTGGGCCCCCCCACATGGGTGCAGGAGCCCAAGTTCTTGGGTAATTTTCTACTGCTTTTCTAGGGGAATTATCAGGGAACTGGATCTGAAGTAGAGCACCAAGAGGCTGGCACTGTGGCTCACTTGATTAATCCTCTGCCTGTGGGGCCGGCATCCCATATGGGAGCCGGGTTCTAGTCCTGTTTGCTCCTCTTCCAGTCCAGCTCTCTGCTGTGGCCTGGGAAGGCAGTGGAGGATGGCCCAGGTGCTTGGGCCCCTGTACTCCCATGAGAGACCAGGAGGAAGCACCTGGCTCCTGGCTTTGGATCTGTAGCAGCCATTTGGGGGTGGTGAACCAACAGAAGGAAGACCTTTCTGTCTCTCTCACTGTCTAACTCTGCCTGTCAAAAAAAAAAAAAAAAAAAAAAAAAAAAGAGTAGAGCACCAGGACTTGAACCATTGCCCATTATGGGATGTGGACACTGCAGATGGAGGCTTAGCCTTCTATGGCAGTGTGCCCGCCCCTCACCCCTCGCTTGATGATTTTATCAATGAGAAAAGAGCTTTACCAGTATAAAATATTTGAATACTCTATTTTCCCTCATATTCTTCTACTGGAAGAGAGGAATGGGGAAGAGTCATTTAATCTGATGTGTGAATTTTGGAGGAAAAAACAATTTTACATATTTTAGTCCTTTTTTCATTTTGGATGCTGGCTGTTCATAATAGACAAATCCATTTATGTTCCTCCATGCTAGAAGCTTTACATGGACAATCTATACTGTGGCAGAGGTAGGTCAACACCACTTGTGACTGAGTAGGTTAATCTGGTTGATTCTGGTGCTTACTCTCTGCAACCCACTTGTTTTTTTTTTTTTAAACTTTTATTTAATGAATATAAATTTCCAAAGTACAGCTTATGGATTACAATGGCTTCCCCCCCATAACATCCCTCCCACCTGTAACCCTCCCCTTATCTACTCCCTCTCCCCTTCCATTCACATCAAGATTCTTTTATATTTTCTTTATATACAGAAGATCAGTTTAGCATACATTAAGTAAAGATTTCAACAGTTTGCTCCCACACAGAAACATAAAGTGAAAAATACTGTTTGAGTACTAGTGATAGCATTAAATCTCAATGTACAGCACACTAAGGACAAAGATCCTACATGAGGAGTAAGTGCACAGTGACTCCTGTTGTTGACTTAACAAATTGACACTCTTGTTTATGGCATCAGTAATCACCCTAGGCTCTTGTCATGAGCTGCCAAGGCTATGGAAGCCCCCTGAGTTCATTGACTCTGATCATATTTAGACAAGGCCATGGTCAAAGTGGAAGTTCTCTCCTCCCTTCAGAGAAAGGTACCTCCTTCTTTGATGACCCGTCCTTTCCACTGGGATCTCACTCGCGGAGATCTTTTATTTAGGTGTTTTTGCTTTTGTTTTTGTTTTTCCCCAGAGTGTCTTGGCTTTCCATGCCTGAAATAGTCTCATGGGCTTTTCAGCCAGATCCGCATGCCTTAAGGGCTGATTCTGAGGCCAGAGTGCTGTTTAGGACATCTGCCATTCTATGGGTCTGCTGTGTATCTCACTTCCCATGTTGGATCATTCTCTCCCTTTTTTATTCTATCAGCTAGTATTTCTGCAACCCACTTGTAAGTAGTTGTAAGACACATTCAGCAACATCATTATTGGTAATAAACATGTTACTCCCATTACCCATGTCCCTTACAATATTGTCTTATTTTCCAAAAGGTTCATAATTCAGAAAGGAAAGAGCTGTTATGTACTAATTTAATTAGATCTCATTTTTTTTTTTTTTTTGGACAGGCAGAGTTAGACAGTGAGAGAGACAGAGAGAAAGTCTTTCTTCCGTTGGTTCACCCCCCAAATGGCCGCTATGGCCAGCGCTGTGCTGATCCAAAGCCAGGAGCCAGATGCTTCCTCCTGGTCTCCCATGTGGGTGCAGGGCCCAAGCACTTGGGCCATCCTCCATCCTCCACTGCCTTCCTGGCCACAGTAGAGAGCTGGACTGGCAGAGGAGCAACCGGGACAGAATCCAGCGCCCCGACTGGGACTAGAACCCAGAGTGCTGGCACTGCAGGCAGTGGATTAGCCTAGTGAGCCACAGCGCTGGCCTAGACCTCAATTTTTAAAATAATATTGGCTCCTGAATCTATCATGAAGTCAGCAATAATTCAATAGTCACTGAAGCCACAATGCACTGATAGGTACTATGTGAGATGAATTAAGCATGTCTTACATTTTTTGATACTGATTAAGGAAAATAACATTTATATAATACAAATAACTTTATAGAGCAATGCTCTATACATGGCCAAATATTAAATTATATTTTATAGCTAATGCATGTGACTAAAATGCAGAACACAAGGGCTGATTTGTTATCTGAATAATGAAAACTGATTCCATCAAGCTTTTGCATCTAATGTAAACCTGTAAAAATACAGGATTTAGATTGGTGAATAAAAGATGAAATTTCCATGAAGTCTACAAAGAGAGTTTAGAAGCAAGAATAATAATAGTTGTTAATTATTGGGCACTAATGACATATACTTTATTTACCTATTTATTATATACATGTATAATAACACACACACTGAGAGACTCTGCGCCTTAGGATCTTAAGCAATTTGTCCAAGGTCATGCTGCAGTTGGTTGATGAGATTTGAATTTCCCAGCCTGAATCCTAAAACCAATCCTGCTAAACTCTACACTGTATTGCCTCAGAGAAAGCAAGACTCATACAGATGATTAAAGCAAATAGGTATCAGAAATAATTGTAAGAGAGTGCTAAAAGCATGTATGAATTGTGAGCAGTATAGACAGAAGAGTTTCAATTTGTCCTTAAACCTGGCTAGGACCTAGTACAGATCCTTAATTATGGAAGTTCTAGAAGAGAATAATGTTGTACAAAGACAGAGTTTTGACATGGGAGAATCACTGTGGGTCCTCAGAAAGTGATCGATTTAGAAAAAAAAGTATCACACATTATTTCAATAAAGTGTTCTATGGATTGACAGCATGACAGAATGAATTGTCAGATGAATACACAATTATGTCATATTTCTATTTACTTCGTAGAAGTAATTGTTAGCACTTATTGATGGCTTATTACATGTCATTAATTGTTTTGAGGATGGTGCTGTAGTGAATCAGGTTAAGCTGCAGCCTGTCATGTTGGCATCCTGTATGAATGCTGGTTTGATTCCTTGCTGCTCCTCTTCCAATCCAGCTACCACTAATGCACCTGGGAATGCAGCAGAGCGTGGCCCAAGTACTTGGGTCCATGCCAGCCCTGGCTGTTTCAGCCATTTGTGGAGTGAACTAATGGATGGAAAATTCCTCTCTCCCTCTCCCTCTCCTGCTCCCTCTCCCTCCCTCCATCCCTCTCTTTCTCCCTCTTTCTCTCTCTTTCTCCCTCCCTATCACTCTACCTTTCAAATAAAAAAACTTTAAAAATAATTTTAATTACCTTTAACCCATTAATTCATTGAGTGTTTGTAATAACTGCATGAGGTGTTACTATTTGCATGTCCTACTTGAAGAAATTGATTCATAGAGATATTAAGTAATTCCCTCAAGTGATACCCTTTTAAGTTGAAGTTGGTATTTTATACTCAGCATATGATTGAGAAGCCTGTATTTTTACCTACCATTATGTATTCTCTAATATAGTTTTTTATTTGAACATTCATCGACAAATTATAAAATCTGTCTTAAAATCTAAAATATTTAGCTATCCTTTGAACTAAAATATCTAATTATCCCTTGAGCCAACATTTCTCAGTGTTTAGAAAGTACTAGGGTACTAGGTTTCCAGAACATTAACTGGTACTAAATGGCAAAAAGAAAAGTTTCAAACAAATGCAATTGGAAAGACTACAGATTAAATGTACTCAAACAGATTTCCTTACCTTACAGCTTCTCAGTTTTGATCCTGCCAAGTGGGTGTACTGTGAGTTCTCATACCATTGGAAATGCTAACCTAAATTAATATTTTCTGTAATGTTTATTCTGAGTCATTCTGGGCTATCTTGAAATCAAAGGACTTTCAAATCCAGATTATGCTAACAAAAAAGCATTTCAAAAATAATTATCAATCTCTCTTTGAAATAGTCATTTCTTCATGGCCTCCTTATGATGTTTTGCTTATATAGAAGTTTGATTTTTATGAATTCAGAAATATCACCTAGTATCTGCAGAGCTCTTCTTATTCACTAACCCCTATGAAGAAATTCCGGCTAATTTATTTTGGTTGGGACAACAAAAAGAATATATCCCTGTGTTCATTTGATTTTCTCTCTTGGTAATAATGAGTGTCTTCATCAGTTGAGCAGAATGTTTCCCACTGGCATATTTAGTTTTAATTATTTCTCTGTCTAATTTTGGTTAAAGACTCATTCAACATTTGTACCATTTGTACTCAATTCTCCCTTGTATCTTGAGTTAACATGACCTCCTAACTCAAATGAAATGTGACTTGAACTCCAGTACAAACCAAGTAAAAGCTACCACTTCAGGGATGAGAAAGAAAAGACTACAGTAGTTGATATCATTAGAAATAAGACTGTCCTGAAAAACAAATATATGTCTTTCTATTATATAAATATTATATTTGTTATTATACACGGAGACATGAAGATATAGTCAAGCTTTCTCAAGTTGTTCCCTAAATACTTAGTCTGTATTTTTCTTACAGAAGTTCAATTTTGAAAGTACCCCCAAAAAATCAAAGATACAGTGTCACTTACCATATCATGGTCTGAAACGGGTCCGAAACTTGTGACGAAGATGTCAGTCTTCACCTCGGTTACACGCTCTGATGAAGCAGGAAATTGGGCCAGTGAGTGTCTATCAACAGTCTTTATTACATATCACCACCACATACTCACACCCAAATGGGAAATTTATTGACTTTGATTAGCTATTTCTAAAATTGGTCCACAGTGTAGTCCTGGTAATTTACTGCTTACACATGAAATTTCACAGTTAATATTTTCAATGGAGAACAGAGTCTAAATATGCCACTTTGGGAGGCAGGCTGTTTGGAGAACTCAGCTGCTGTTTAATGAATTCTTCAAGAATGGACACACACTTGCCTAAAATCATACTAAACCATTCCACACTTTAATGAAAATATGTTTGCATATCGGTTTGGCTCCCCCTAAAATATTTTTATGCTGCCAGGGAGTTCCTCTAGCTATCTAGGCTACTCTTGGGAAGTATATAGTATGCTTTCGCAAGCTTTATTAACTCTTTGAGGTCTCGAGAGTATGCGGTATAAATGATTGCTTTTTTGCACTACATCATAAATGATTTATTTCAAATTACTCTCTGGGAAAAATGTGACAACCTATATAAGTATCTTCAATTTTGAGGATGAGGAAGACATATTTTGGCATAGAAAAAGTTCATTTAATAGATTCTGTTTCACGTTCACTGCCATTTTATTACATTGGCCTCTGATGGCATATATATCAACCAATAAAACATATTTATCGTAGTACTGTGACAACTCAACACAGACATTTTCAAAGAAATATAGTCACTCACCAAGAAATAGAAAAATGTTGCTTGCAGAAAAAGAAACAATTTGTTGAGGGGTGAGAATGAAAAAGATGACTGTGATTTTCACCTTAGCTCTAAAAAATAACAGTCCAATGTCTTAAGCAGCTCATTTCATTTATCAGGACATTTATTCTCTGGCATAGGACATTAAAAAGGTGATCCATTATATTCAATAATAAATTTCTAAGAAAATAAAAAGCTGTCCTTTCTCCCTTGTGAGTAGTTAATAACTTTCAATATAAATTTCTATCAAGGAGGTCATGTTATATGGGGGTACTTCAAAAAGTTTATGGAAAAATAGAATTGAAAGATAATTCTGGTTTTGGTGCAAAAATGCTTTTCAATCCATGCTTAGTTTTTTCATAGTACACATACTCAATGAACTTTTTGAAGATGCCTCATATATTGCACATCCTACATATTTGAATAGATAAAATAATTTGGAGTTAGTAAAATTCCTTTCCATGACCAGTCCAGTGTTTTTGCAATACAGCAGTAAGTTTCAGCTCTTAGGTGTTCCCATTTTCATCCCCAGTATGTATACTTCTCTCTACCACATTCTCTCAACACATATTTTGTTTTTACTAAATTAATTCTTTTTCTTAGTTAAAACATCTGCTATTTCTTAAGACTGTATCAAGACCTCACACTTTACTAGAACAGTACAACCTTCTTTCAACTAAAATAATAATAAAACAGAAATCTACTCTTTTCATAGAACCTACAGTTTATATTAAATGAGTTTTTTTTTTTTTTTGTCTTTTCAATTTTAGCATTTCCCTTTCTGGATCAAGCAAAGAACCCATTACTTTGATTTTCTTTGATAAAGAAAATATACACATTTGCCATTAAAAAATGTAAAAGGAAAGTCAACTGATGGTAGACTCTCAGGAATATTTTCATACTAAATTCTTAGTGTACCAATTCAGCCCCTAATTGTGAATAATTTCATTTTTTTTCTTTTTTATAGATGAATAGCTTGCAATTAAATGCTTCTTAAGCTGTGTGACCAAAAGGATTAAGATCTGAACTATGAAAATCTTTGAACCTAAGTCTTGATGTGATCAAACGTTTCTATTTTACTTCTTTTTTTAATTTGCTGACTCAGCTGCACTTTGTGTCCAAGGTTCAGTTTTAATTCTCCCAGATTATAAAATCTAAAACTTATGGTAAATATCTTATGGACTTTAGGGGCATGTATTGAATCAACATTATAGCAGTTCTTTTCCTTTTTGTTTTTGAGATGCATATTTATATGGTTTGGTGATAGCTTAATTGTGTCCCCCAAAGGTTTATGTGTCAAAGGCATGGTTCCCAGGTGGCAGTATTGGCAGATACTATGGAATCTTTAAGAGGTAGAGTCTACTAGGAGATCCTTGGACTCTTGGGGGCACAAGATATTTCTTTTGAGTCCCAGTGGTAGTTCTCTTGAGAGTTATTAGAAAAGCAGTAAGCCTGGCTGCACCAGATCTCTCAGATGTAATCTCTTCTCTTTACTTTTATATGCTGCTCCCACATTGCTTGCTGTCTCCACCATGAGATGATACAGCCAAGTACAGCTTGCACTGTGCTGTTTTGAACTTCCAGAACCATGAGCCAAATAAACCTGTTTTTCTGTCAAAGTAGGTTGCATCTGATGTATCATTATACTGATGAAAAGGTGACTAATATTCTGTTCAGGAACTATCTCCTAATTCCTGTCTGAACACTTGTACCGTGATTGGCAATCTGGGACACCTCTCTTGGAATCCTTCATTCCTATTATTTACTTCTTGACTGTGGGAAGAGTATAGTTTTGGCACCTTAAGGTAAATCCTCAAGGTAATTAGTTTTATAAAATTGTTTCACCAGGTGTTTCAGGAGTTAGCGACTAGTATTATATAGCATGATAAAGTGCCCAGAGAAATCTGGTGCCCTGTTGCCAAAAGCATAGGTCATTTCTTTCTGTTGTTTTTAGGTTGTTAGTAGATACTATAGAAGTGACAAATTAAAAGGCCTAAAAGTCTGCTTAGAAAGATTATTATACCAGTCAAATAGGACATAAAACATGGTTAAGCTTACACACATTTATTGGCATGCATAGTTGTTATTGTCCCATATCGAGGTTAGACATAAATGGAAAGGAATTTACATAAATGACAATAATAGTTTTGAAGACTTTGGTTGGAGTGTTTGTTGCAACAGTTAAGACACAACTCAGAATGCCCTCATCCCATATCACATGAGGTTCAAGACCTGGCTCTATTCTCGATTCCAGTTTCCTGGCGATGCTCACCCTATGTATCAGCAGGTGATGTTCCATGTTCAATGTCACCCATATTAGAGACTTGGTTTGAGGTCCTGGCTCTTGACTTCAGGCTGGTCCACTTCTTACAGGCATTTAGGGAATGAAACAGTGGATAGAAGAACCTTCTCTTTCTGTCTCACTCTCTCTTTCAAATTAAATAAATAAATAAATAAAGTTTGTTTCTATTTATTTTTTACCTAATCTTTCCACTAAACCTATTGAACATCCCAGTTCATAATCTTCAGTTGTACTTCATCTTATTTTCTACTGATTACTTGCTCATCAGATTTTCCAGAATGTGTCATTGCAATATTCTATGGAAATTATCCTAACCAAGAGCTCCCATATAGTGGAACTTTCAAATTACCTTCTCAACACACAGTCTGATCATATGTATGTCCTTAAAGAGTTTCTGATTATTGTTATATATTATCTTTATTCTCCAAACATACTTATAAACCCTATGCTTTAGGTAGTAAATTTTTTAAGTCCCCAAACTAAAGACTATGAAGGATTGCAGAACCAAACAACCACTAAAAGGAAGAGGTGAATTATGGCATCAGAAGGGAAGAGACAGAATGTAATGGAATTTCACTTATCATTAGTGACTTGAGGAGAAAGATCAGTAGACTAAGAGATAACCACTTTCCATTCTTTCTCTTCTAACATATGAGAGGCCATGAAGAGAGTTCACGGAAAGAGATATTTGCATAAAAATAAATTTATCTTTGTACTTTATTTTTCTTTTTTGGCAAACTAATGATGATTTGAAATTATACCTCTTATGCCAGGACATTGCCAAAATGAAAAATCTTTATATATATATATATATATATATATATACACCTTGACCAAGATATAAGGAAACTATTGAGGATTCACTCTTTTTCTAAATTCTAAGAATTTTAAACATATTGTCTCTTTCTCAAAATGAAATCTCATCTCCCCCATACCATACACACGCACATACATACACACGGGCACTTCAAAAAGTTCATGTGAAAATTAATTAAAAGATCAGTGTATCTGAGTGCAAATAAAGATTTTTAAAGATTTATTTATTTAAAAGACAGGGTGATAGGGAGAGATATCTTTCAGCCACCGGTTCACTCCCAAAATGGCTGCAATCACGGGAGTTGGTCCAGGCTGAAGAGGGGAACCAGGAGCTTGATTCTGGTCTCCCATGTGAGTGACAAGGGTCCAAGTATTTGGGCCATCTTCCATTGCCTTCCTCCATTAGCATGCAGCTGGATAAGAAATAGAGCAGCCAGGGCTCAAACCTGAACTCAAACAGGCATCACATGCAGCAGCTTAGCTCACTGTGCCACAATCCAAGCCCAGAGTGCAAAAAAAGTTGAAATCCATGCATACTTTTTTGATAAAATGCATTTTTCACAAACTTTTTGAAGACTCTATATTTTTCTGTGTGTATGTGTGTCTATAATTATGCATTAGATAAGGAACATTGGAATCTGAATTATATCCTCTGTATCAGAATTCATTGAATTAGCATCAGATTATTAAGCATTACCAGAAATACTTTATGCAAAGCCTTCCTGTGGACCACATGAGGAAAAGTCAACATATTTTTGTGCTTCAATATAGTCTCTTTGAGAATATATAACATGACTCAGGAACTTATAATGAGGTTTCAGTGATAATATGCTTATCCCAAACTCTACATGAATGAATGCATTATATAATGAGGCAGTGGTCTAAAAGTGGAAATAAAATAACTTAGCTTGAAAGAATGTTAAAACAGACAATTAATCAAAGAGTTTTGTCCAGTAATATTTTCTTCAGCATAATCCATGTGAAATTTATAAAAGAAAAAGATTTTTAAAGTCTAAATATACACATATGTTCAACTTTTTTAGAAAAAATTTGGAACAGAATTATATAACGTGGTATCATGATGATAATGGATATTATAATTGAGGATATCAATACAATAATGTCAGTGA